TGATAATAAAATTCAACTATTGCATTTAATAAACTATTTTAGCATTTAAATGTATAATAAATTAAAGTATTAAAAATTAAATCTTTGTTTCAAAAATTAGTTTAATTTATTGATTTTATATAATAGTCTTAGTTTTTATAAATAAAAAAAAAAATTGTAAAAAATTTTTTATTTTTATTGCAACTAAAATGTTTCTCTAAATGAAGTTGTTCTTTTAAATAATCTATTGCTGTTGAAATTTATGCAATGCCTCTTCTAATGCATATGCTATATATTTTATGAGTTCACTTTCATCATCATTGTCATCGCAAGGAATATTACTTTCTGGTTTAATAACCTGCTCTTTTCGTTTTTGCAAAGATTTTAATAAAGATTGAACATGTTCATCAATACCGTTGCATAAGAATGAGAGACAATGTAAGCATTTAAACCTATTGTTACTGTAACAGAATCTATGATATGTATAGCCACAAGCTAGAATTTTAATAGGATTGTCTGCAATAATAAATAAAGGAATCAAACAATTAGCTACATCACAGTACTAAAATTGATATGGTTTATGTGCAGTACTGAAACCCAAAGGAAGATGACGTAATTGTGTTTTCAGCATCTTCATTGCAACTAAGAGGATATCATTCTTTTCTTCACACTTCTTCTTTGGAAATGGATTGATCTATAATGGAAATGATATTATTAGTTTATGGTGAAATAAGCGCATATAAATTTCTAAAAAACATTGCAATAGAAAACAAGCGCTTTTCTTTGTTAAAGCTATTATATCCATGCAGAATACTCATATGCTGCCTATGTAGATGTATGCGCAAAATTTTCTCTAAATCCATTGTCATCCAAATGTAAATGATTAATGAAATGCCTATATTTAATGATCTGTTGTGCATCTGTGTATTTCTGCGTACTTTTGCTTAAAAGCTATGAAAGATTTCCACAGTTGAGTCTGAGAACTTCAGAAGTTCAGCCTTGATGGTCTCTAAAATTGGGTAATTATTTAGCTTCTAATAAAAGATATCAGAAAGAAACATCAATGGTGCCTTGGTATAGTTTCTATGATGAAATTTAAGAAATATTATCCAAATACGAAAGCAAGCTTCTAAGTATGCATTAAAATCACCTGACCGGAAAAATACAGCATAAATATCTAGTACAAGTGGAATTGTATTGTCAAAAAGATCTTTGAGCGTAAGATATTCAGCATCTTTACACAAAGGTTCAAATTTCATTTTAACGGTCATAAAAACTTCTTGCCAGGCACTGCGGGAAATCTCTAAAAGAAGGTTGATATGCTATAGCTTGGACTATTGTGCAAGTTTTTTATTTTCTTCAAAAATATATGTATATATGGCTGAGAAAAAAGGTTGATACTGAAGGAAAAGCAATTCTCAGCTATTTAGTGAAATATGCAAAGGACCTATAACAGGAAGGAAAGACAAAATATTATTAGTAATATTTGATGAATCACGATAACATAAGTAGCATGAAATAGCTGTTCTAAAATAAATCTGTCCAGGCCAATCAGCCACAATGAGGATGATATTTCCTTGCTGAATATACTACTGTATAGATGGAACATCCATAACGGTGTTAATAGCTTTAATATATGCATTTAAAGAATGAAGGTCATTTTCTTGTAAATCTATAAGAATGACATCCTTCATTGAATAGACATTTCATTTCTTCTTTAACCTAACATCATTTTTTTTTATTAATGTGCGATTGGCTTAAGAGAATATTAGGAGGAATACTTATTTACTAAGTAAAGTTATCCTCAATATGACCTTTTTAAGTCTCCGATCCTCAAGGGATACGGCAACCCAGCACTAGAAGTACATCCCTGTCAGTTGCTACCTAGTTAGACCACCTATAACAGCTATACCTGCAATTATAAGCTCACTAGACCGTCAGGTACTATCATCTTTTAGATAGAGGGTTCACTTCAACCATAGAGCTTGTCACACCCTATTTTTACCAATCTAATTTATAGGGTTTTACCCTATTGATGATTACTGAGACCGTGGGATCAGATTCTTTGTATAGATGGTGGTTTTGTACCCATATCGTCAAATTCACCTGGGAATCAAACTCAGCCTCTACCCTAGTGATAGTTCGATTGGATGGTGCTGTGGCGTGCAATGCAGTCTATTATCACTATAGCCTACCCGAAGGAGGTATCCAATCTACTAATTACTGGTTAACCACTTCCTTACTTGTGTAAGAGCCCCTGAATTTGAAGACGTGAGACAGTATCCATTACAGACCTGTCAGTGAAGGTCAAGTTTCTATCGATCTCTGGCTTCATTTACATCCACTTGTTCTTTTAAACCTAGTATTTAGGCATGATTAACGTCAACTAACAGATAAATCGACCAGTATCTAACGTTTATTAGTCTAAACGCTCACGTATTCAGTTACATATGAAATTCTTATGAAAATCATCTAGTTTTTATGCCTCAGCTGAAGCCTGAACCTGTGACTATCGCAGTATAACCTAAAATAGGAGCTCAGTTGTTGCCAACTAAACTAGGGATGCCAATCCCTCTTTAACCTAACATCATAACTATGTACAGTTAGCTTCTCCAATCTTGTATCATCATCAACTATATGAAATCTCCAATGCCGATTATGCGAAAGACCACAAAAACTCATAAACTTATTTTTCATATTAGTTTTAATCAATTCAGCATCAACTAAAATAGGGTTATGTATATTCATTTTTGGAATTGCATGTTGCGTCGTAATTGGATTCATCAAAATTGTTGCTAGATGGACAGCGATTGATGTAGTAATTATATTTGGCATTCGTTTCGTGTGAATGCTGTGATAATTGTCGATATTTAGTACTATTGTATTCTCTATACATTCAGCAAGTGCTGAATTGACAGTCTTGGCATATTCTTCAAATATGGTTGTTTTATATTAAGAAACCATGCAAGATGTTGTAGTTATACCTAAATCAGCAAGGGTATTTATAGAAGTATCAGAAGCACTTGTAGAATCTAGATACATCGCCAAGTCTTTTTTAGCATTATTAACGAACTTGTTCTAAATCCTACAGAGAAAGTAGCATACAAATAAGAGCTGTTTTTTTGCTCGTTCTTGTGAATCACTATTTTTTGAAGAAGGATTAGACAATAAGTACAATTCATCAAAAAAGGGCTTCAAATTTGCATTATTTTCTTCCATAACTTTGCGAAATTCATCAAATAAGTATAATGTTAGCATTTTTTCCTTATTTTCACGATTATATAAGACATTAATCATTATTTCTACTGCTTTGAAGAGGGACAAAATAGAGGGTGAGGGTGGTGGTATTGGAGGTGGAGGCAGAAAAGGAAGCGGAATTGGAGATGGAGGTGGTGGTAAAGCTTCCAGTGTATGTTGTTGAAATTCAAGCGAACAATTTATCACAATTCTATTATAACAGTTTAAGCAAATCACATCATTTATTTGTAGATATCTTGGCAAAGTATTATTAGTTTGACCTTTTGCAATAACGTACTCAGTTACCTTTTTCCACCGTGCTGACTGCTTAGTTTGACATATTGTAATTACACATGGTTCAGTAAGCATACTTGTCTTCTAAGTAAAGTACCTTTAGATTTTGGATTATCTTGGGATTATTTTGCACAGTGAGTGTTAATATACTTTCGAAGCTGATAATAAAAAAAAAATTTCATTTTTATAAGTGAAACGTTACATTCTCAAAAAGTACTTTAAACTGTATAAATAATGTTCTTCGCAATTGAATAAGATCGGCAAATCATGTAAAAGTCCTCCTATGAGATTATAAATCTAATCTGAACTAAAAAAAATCTAAACCAAACTGAAAATTTCAGATTGTTTAGAACGATTAAATTTATCGTTCTTTTGGAACGATTGAAGTTATCGTTCTTTTGAAATGATTGAAGTTATCATTCCAAACAAACAATAAGAAAATCATTTAATTGGAATGATCAAATTATCGTTTCAAACAAACGATAAAGAATTGTTCAATTAGAATGATCAAATTATCATTCCAAATGAATGATAAAAGAATCATTTATTTGAAACGATTGAAGTTATTGTTCCAAACGAACGATAAAAGAATCATTAATTTGGAACGATTAAAGTTATCATTCCAAACGAACGATAACAGAATTGTTCATTTAGAATGATCAAATTATCATTCTAAACAAACGATAAAAGAATCATTCGATTGGAAAGATTAAATTATCGTTCATTTGGAACAATTAAAGTTATCATTCCAAATGAACGATAAGAAAATCGTTCAATTGGAATGATGAAATTATCGTTTCAAACGAATGATAAAGAATCGTTCATTTGGAATGATTGAAGTTATCATTCTAAATGAATGATATGAAAATCGTTCAATTGGAACGATCAAATTATCATTCCAAATGAACGATAAAAGAATCATTTGATTAGAACGATGAAATTATTGTTCCAAATAAACGATAAAATAATCGTTTGATTGGAACGATCAAATTATCATTCCAAACGAACGATAAAAGAATCATTTGATTGGAATGATGAAATTATCGTTTTAAACGAATGATAAAAGAATCATTCGATTAGAACGATTAAATTATCATTCCAAACAAATGATAAAAGAATTGTTCGATTGAAATGATTAAATTATCGTTCAAAATGAATAATAAAAGAATCATTCATTTGGAACAATTGAAGTTATCGTTCCAAACGAATGATAAAAGAATCATTCATTTAGAACGATTGAAGTTATCGTTCTAAACGAATGATAAGAAAATCATTCGATTGGAATGATCAAATTATCATTCCAAACAAACAATAAGTAGTGGTCCAATCTGAATATCTGTTTATCTGTATACAGATAATCCGTGACATCCATTACAGATATGGATTGCTATCCGTGAAAATCCAGATAAATCCAGATAAATTTGTAACGGATAATAAAAACTTTTATTTTTATTTTTCCGAATATCAAGTGTATATTCTCAAGTGTATAAGATGTGAATGGTTCAATGTTTTTGCTCCTATATACAAATTAAGTGGTACCATATAAAGCAACCTAGATATTCTTCCATTTTTCATTTATAAAAGGGTGAGGCATTTTTTCTTACTAATTTTTGTAAATTCCATGTTTGATAATAACTTTCTTTAGCTAACATGTTCATTTTCCCTCCTAAATTTTTTTCAGCATTGACAGAATAACTCTTAATGAATCAATTTCTATACCAACCCGCCAATCTGTTGCTAATCTGTTGGTACAACTATATAATGAGATCTGAACATTACTTAATTAAATGTATTACTGTATCTCACAATAAAGGTCAATATATCGAATTTAATCTTGCTAATAATATGGCAATGTTAGAGACGCTTGGTATTTGAAATGGAATACTAGATACTAAGAAAATCATAAGGTGAATGTTACTAAGATCTATTCAAATAAAATCATAATAATAATAATAATAATAATATAATGGGAAAAAATAATCTTATTTGAATTGGTCTTTTACATACATTGTATATATTATAAACATAATTTTTCTAAGAAAACCAATTAGATCGTAATAACAAAATCTAAATATTTGCTTTATTTATTTATTCTTCATTAATTTTACAAATATTATCTAATGGAAAAACCCCCCCAGCTAAGCGCCAATTTTTTTTTACAAAAAACCAGATTTTCTAATATATTAGGTGCCAATTGTGTTCTTTTTATAGTCATCACATTACCAGCTTCACTAAAAAGCCTCTCGCTTAGTGTAGAAGTAACAGAAATCGCCAAATACATTCTTGCTAATTTTGACAATATTAGAAATCGGGTTTGATTAGTTTTCCACCATAACAAAGGGCAATCATCAAAATGAATCTTTGGCATGGTTAAATAATTAGTTATTTCATCAACATGAATATAATTATTCTTGCCAATAATGAATTTGATGAAACAGGTCTGAATTTGGCTTCTTAATCTTCATTAGTTAAGTCTTTTATATCTTGATAAGCATCTTTTAATTGTTCATGAGTTCTCATACGTAACATTTCAGAGACAAATTCTAAATCTTTGAATCGTGAATCTAATAATGTAGCCAATATTCCTTGCTCTTGTAAAACTTTCCAATAGTAATTAATAGATTGATACAATGCCATTTTAACACATTTTTCAAGATTAAGACAATTTTGTGAAACATTAATATTAATTTTTCTACGTTTAGGTTGTTGAGTAATAGGTTCATCCTCCAGAGCATCTTCATAACCAATATCATCATCAAAGGTAGTATTTAGACTAGTCAGATCTATAACTTCCATATCAGAGTTCTTAGGTATTATTTTTTTGCTGATTATTGCTAACAAACTATACATCAAACTAATTGTTGTATAATCGCTTCCACCTAGGTATTCAGTTACTCTAGCAAAATCCTTCAAAATAATTACTAATTTATCTATTGCTTGCCATTTATCATCAGTTAGATTTATATCCTTTAGTCATTTGCCATCTCGTCGTGTATCAGGATCAATCATCAAGGTAGATACTAAAATATTAATAAGATCTTTAATTTTTATTAGACGTTTTTATGCAAGGTAGCTTGAGTTCTAACGCGTTTTTATGTCAGCAATTAATCAAAGGTATTCATCATTTTTTTTCAAATTCTATAATTATTTAATTTTATTTGTAAATTATAATTGGTTATTTATAATTTATATAGAATATATAGAATATATCACAAAGTCTTGATGGAAAAAAAATAAAGCAAATCTTAAATTACTTATATAAATAATTTATTAAATTTTTGTATTATTTTTTTATG